AGCAAATGATGATTCCAACTCTTATGGGATTTCAAGTCTGAAGATAATTCAGTCTTACTAAAACTACTTAGCTTTATCTGCTCAAACATGCACATTTTCATCTACCCACCCACTCACTCACTCTCTCCAAACCACTAACTAGCCCTAGAGATAGCAGCTCAAAAACTCAGTCACCATTCCCGTTCCACAGGCCACTTCACCCTCTGCGAGTCTCCCTTCTACTCCATTTCACAGGCCAAGGGAATCTTGGGATTTTGGTTTCACTACTACTCATTTCCTTTTCCAATTTTCCACATCTGAAAAGTCACTGTGGCATCTACTATTCTTAACAGCTTAAAAATTCACTGATTATTGCAAAAACTTTCATAGTGCCTTTCATGGGGTAACTTTTCTATTGCTCCGATAAAGTAGCTACCAATCATCACCCCATTTGCAAAAAAAAAAAGAGATATAAACGAGGAAGATAGGTGCTTTTTACCATCAGTGACAGATACAAAAAATAAAAACTGACTTTCTAGACTTCATTTAGGGATATATTGAAAGAACAATGATTATTAACAATTTCTTTCCAGTATTTCTTGTAACTCCTCAGAATAGATGCTGTAATCCAAAGAGGGGCTGATTAAGAAATATGGATGACTGGGGGCACCTGGGTGGCTGAGTGGATTGACTATCCGACTCTTGATATCGGCTCAGGTCATGACCTTATGGTTTGTGGCACAAGTCCCGCATGGGGTTCCATGCTGAGCACGGAGCCTGCTTGAGATTCTCTGTCTCTCTCTGTCCTTTCCCCATTTGTATTCTCGCTCTCTCACTCTCAAAATAAATAAAGTTAAAAAAAAAAAAAAAGCAATATGGATGACTGGGCCAGCAGCAGTGGGGTGCTAAAGCGGAGGTTCAGTTACCGCTCCATGAAATATTGCACAGTGTAATTTAGTCACCTTTCAAATTTAAGCTAGTCAGTATTACAGTATTTTGGATTCTAAGATCTTCATTTCTTCTGAGGTTCTGGAAAAATATCAGTATTTATGACCAAACTGACCTTTTCATACTCCACTCTTCCCAGTAGTGGGCAAAAAATCAATTAGCAAGATAGGTAGTAGGAACTCCAATTCACTGGGGACTCTCAGAGCCTCCACCATAGGAAGTGGTTTTACAACCATCTCTTCTGGTGCTACAAATAAGGTTCACATTCTTCAGAAGGTGTTAGAGACAGAAGTGGCTACAGAAATGCTGAACTTGCCTCAACTCAATCACCCTGAGGTGGATATTTTTTAGGATTCGGCTGATCAAAGACAGAGCTTATCCATACATAATGTGCTACAAAAACAAGGCTTTTGGCATCTAAACCTCCAGCACATCACAAACTTCCTGCTATTATCTAATATCCCCCCAACTCAGCCATCACTGTTTCCATGGTAACCGACAGAGAAATAGCAGCCTGCCAAATGGCTTTTGTGGTTCCTTTTCTGGCTTGTTTTTCAGTATAGAATTAAAGCTAGCTGGGAAAAGAACGAGACTAATCTTTACAGCAGGGACACGATACATTTTGGAAAGTACAACTAGGTTTGGGACAAGGAGTGTAGACAAACTTTAATGAGCCCAGCTTGATAGAATAAAAAAAGGCTCTTGGTTTCTAAAAAATGTCTACTCAAGTATATTTGGTAAGCTTTCTGTCTTGAGATAGTATATCCTGATATTGTCTGGAAGACAGATATGGTGCCATCCACTCTGTCTTTAACTGAATTAACAAAAGAAGGGATGGGATGAATGGAACGGCAAGATCAGGCAAGTCTACCATGCCCCAGGTACCTTGTTACCATTAAAGGAAATGTAAGTTACTCTGAAATCAAACTGAACGGGAAGGAGTTGCCTGCTTGGACTAGAGAACAGTGAAGAAGGATCTCTTAGGGGAGAGAAATGTCTGTCCTGGGGATGATGCATGCATGAAGCTGACTGAGCCAACTGTATGAATCAGAGGGGCCCTCATACTTAGGAAAACAAAGATCTCCTCACCATCTCGGCACAGGGAGAAATTGTGAGGAATGCAATGTGTAGAACTGGGGCAGCTTTCAGAAGAGCAGCAGCTACAGAGATCTGCCTAAAGTGCCAGACTGCACAACAAACAGCTGCTGCAGGGGTGGAGGAGACTGAATGTTTAAAAAAAAAAAAAAAAAGAAAAAGTGGCCCAAAACATATGCTTTTCTGTCTCAAAACTGCATACTTGAATAAAGTACACAAAAATCTTATGATTCTTCTATGTCACTTCCAGATGAGAGACTCTGACTCAAGTCAAACAGGTATTTAGATTCCCTTCTGATAGGTAAAAACGAACTGGATTTTGACAAGAGATGCCCTCCCACAACCTCTAACATTCCGAATGTCTTGTTGACAGACATGAAAATTACAACCCACAGTGGCATACTAAGTTAGGTTCCTAAGAGTTTCCTGACAGAAAGTCAGACTCCTACAAATTCTACACAGAAGACTAACGTAATTTATGCTTTTTAATTTATGCTTTTACCTTGAGTTGTATGAATCATGAGTCATGTTCTCAGAGCTCTCACTGGAGTTTAGAAAGAAAAGTAGACACAGATTTGCAATAACCACTTCCTTTCAATCCTTCAGAAAAGAGATCATTATAATAAGATAAAGATGATGCACCCTAAGGCTGTCAACTCAAAGAAAGGCTTCTGTGCACTTCTAGTTTAGCTAGATTTGTGGAGCCCTGAATTTTTTGAAATCTATGTTAAAAAACTTGAACAAGTCTTTCCAAAAGTTTAAACTTGGGTCTTGTTTACCCAAGAATGGAACTTACAGGTTCTGGGGGAAAAAAGCCATTTTTAAATAAACTGGGTTCAGTAATGCATGATTATAATTCCCAATATATTAACCTTCAATTTTCCCATTAAAAAAACCTTTTTTTTAAATTTTTTATTTATTTTTGAAGGAGAGAGAGATAGAGCATGAGCGGGGGAGGAGCAGAGAGAGAGGGAGACCCAGAATCCAAAGCAGGCTCCAGGCTCTGAGCTGTCAGCACAGAGCCCGATGCGGGGCTTGAACTCACGAACTGTGAGATCATGACCTGAGCTGAAGCCGGACGCTTAACTGACTGAGCCACCCAGGCACCCTTCAATTTTCCCATTAAAAAAAATTTTTTTTTAATATTTATTTATTTTGGACAGGGAGAGACAGAGCATGAGCAGGGGAGAGGCAAAGAGAGAGGGAGACAGAATCTGAAGCAGGCTCCAGGCTCTGAGCTGTCAGCACAGAGCCTGACACGGGGCTCAAATTCAGACTGCGAGAGCATGACCTAAGCTGAAGTCGGATGCTCAACCGACTGAGCCACCCAGGCGCCCCCCCCCACCTTTAAAAAATTTTTTTTTAAATATGTATTCAATTTTCCTATTTTAAACAAAAGCCAGAATTGAAAGGACATGCAATTACTTCAAAATTAATCATAATTACGATGACGCAGGAAGCCAAAACTGATTACAGTCAATAGTCTGAGGTGAGGCATTAACACCTTTATATTTCTTCCCAAATCTGTTTTCTCAGCCAACTTTAAGATCTCAGACGAATTTTCTTACTTATTAGGTCTATATTTTTGTCAAATCTGCCATCATGAGTGTAGTGCAGATTCCCTTGCTACTAGCAGACAATTACAGGGACTTTACCACATCTTTAGTATTTCATGACCTGTGCTTTCACTACACTCATCAAAATAAACTGTAAGACTTCAGAAGATAAACCTTCAGTATGGGCCATCTCCCTCAGAGATCTTTATTCCAAATGGTTGCTTTCGGACACAAGGCTGTGTGGTAGTTGTATTACCCATCTACTCGTTAACCTATAACGTAAGTGAGGTTTATTACCAAGAAATAGCTCTTGATGGCCACGAATAATGTTTTTATATGCGAAAATGAAGACCTTCAGTTGCCTGGAGGGGAAATGGAATGGGAATATTCTGGGCACAAGAACACTGCTAATGCTTAATGACTGGAAACTGCTTCTACAGTAAAACTATCCAGAAAGCATGCTTTGGGAATCCTTAAGCTTCAAATCTGTAAATAGGCCACAAGTGTTTTTAAGAAGGGGGTGGTGTGTATGTGTATGTGAATGCATGTGTGTAAAGAAACAGTGATTGGACAAGTAACTACCTGGCAACAAAGAAGATACCTGTAAGGCTGCAAGTGAGGATTATCCCAAACATCGTGCTGGCTCTACCAGCGGACGTGCCACTCGGAGAGATGGAAGGGTGACTTCCATAGCAAGGCACAGCACCAGGAGGGAAAAGACGACTTCATCTTACTCAATTACTGCTACAGCCAGATCCCAGGACCAGGCTTGACAAAAAGTTGGTGTGGTTATGTCCGGCTTGAGAAGAGGATCTGAACTTAAAAATGAAACATGTGCTGTTCCTCTGCTATTCACATAACAGGAGCCTTACCAAGGGCAGGATGAATTATTCATGTAATTTACCTGACTGGGTTTTCACCGAGTAGAAGGCCGCATATAAAAGCATAACCATATCCAAAGAGAGTATGGCAAAGGTTGGGTCGTCTGCTTCTCAAGTGGTACTCCCCCTGGTACAGGAGAAGGCTAATCAATCACCAATGAAACTGGGAAGGCCAGTCAAACTGCTCAGAAGCAAGTTCGCTCAACACATCACTGGCAACTGACAATCCCCTGCTAGCACAGACCAAAGAAACAAAGCAAAGAAAACCTAATCAAGGGAAATTATACCAACAAAAGCTGCCTAATGGCATAAATGCAAAATAACACAATATGCTTCAAAATACCATGCTTGGAAACCGAAATACATGTCAGGAAAGCAGCCCAGTCCATTAACTATGTTCTTAGAGGAAGCATATCTGATGAAGAACAGACATGAGCACTGGCAGGCTAATAATTATTTGGTCTGGATTAGATCATATTCTAAACACAGCCTTATAAGCCTTTCCACACTGACTGGCTCTGGTTTACTGTTATAAACTAAATGACTGGGAACCTTGGTAAGAGAAAGACACAAAGATAATAAGATCATTTGGTAGAGGTTTGCTCTTTTCTTTGAGTTTCTACTACCTTTCTACCTATCTTAATCCTAGGGTCTTATACTTTTTTGATTTAAGAAAGTCAAAACTCCTAGTGTCCCTGAAATATCCTGTAACATACGTAAAACCCGGGACGGAAAACTAAAGTTATTATGTTTAGTTACTGCTTCTCTCCCTGAATTTGGACAACCATCTCTGAGAATTTGGCTTGAACTTCATCTTTCTGAGAGAATCACAGGTTCATCTGTATTTCAGAAGATGGCTAAGAAGGCAATGAGGATGCTCACGATGTTCCCTTCCAGAAAGGTGGCAACACCGCCATGGAGAAGACTTACAATGAAGCCTTCCTCAGGGGTGTCTTCCTCATGCTTTCTTCCTTTCCAGTCTTGTACCTCCCAGCTCGAGTCTTCCCTTTATAACCCCTCCTTCACAGCACTTATCATAATTTCAGTCATTTCAGTAATTAGTAACATCTGTCTATCCCCTGTATCCATGAGGACAGGAGCTATCTCTGTTCTTTCCACCAAAGGAAATGAGCCCCCGAAGCCTGGCACATGGCAAGCAATTTCTGTTGGATAAGTGAATGAATGAATAAATGGCCACTCTGGGAGACAAAAGGTAACCATGGGGTAGGCGATCAGTTGAACAGGTTTCAACAACAAAACATGTACTCTTACCCTCTAAACCTGAAAACAGCAGCTTTTAAGAACTCTACTTTTTTCACAGAATATTAGAAGGCAGGAAGAACATGAAAAAAAAAAAAGAGAGAATACTCACTGGTGGGGGCTTCCTTCTCATCTCAAAAGTGCGTGTGGCACCAAAACTCAGCGAAGCAATGATGGGACACCTCCCTAGCGACGGTTCATCGTCACTATGCCAGTCGACACTGTCTTTCTCATTTCGGTAAAGGTTGCAGAGCAAGGAGTTGAAGGTGTGGCCAGTGTTCTTTTCAATCTGGTCCTTCAGTGTGAGCAGCACAGGATGCCACTGCAATCATCAGGCCAAGAGAAGGGACAGCCACATGTAAAACAGAAAGTGCAAAGTCAGTCTTAAATCAACAGGGCCATGGAATAAGCAAAACACACTTGGAATGCAATAACCAATGGCAAGAGGAATAGTTTAATTCCCTCCCATTATTTCTATTTTGAAGCAAATTGACCTCTATCATTTTATTAAGGTACTAAAATTTGGTCCAGCACTATCATGAGGACCAAGCCTTTCTACCCATCTCAACTGTTCTGTGTTAAATACATGACCCCACAAAGAAGCAAGTGTCATTATATTCAGGGCAGTCACCTCAGTGAGTCATTAAGAAGGTGAATGCAACAGTCTGGGCTCTGCCGCCATGGCTGATGGGTTGCCAGGTAGTTGGCAGATACAGACCGAAGTCTGAGGAATCAAACAACTTTTCTGCTGGGTGGCTCTCTGTTCATTCGATTTCTATTTTATCATGAATGACAGAATTGCTTTTAAAAAAGGTATTTAATATTTCCAGAGTGGCTATCTTCCTAAAAATAGAACCTAGAAGGAAAAAACATTGTACAGAATGGAATCATGACGTGGCCTTGATAAATACATGGGCTGTGAACTACATACAGTTTAAACAGATTCCACAGCCCTGTCTCCTGAGCACCCAGTTCTCGTATGTAGTTTATATTTGGAACACAGTCTTGCCACATATACTACAGGAAGCTATGACCCCTGACCTTACGCTGTACTTGGGGAGTTACAATCAGCATGGCTGTATTAGTTGTGAGAATTCTGTCCTTTCTCCAAGAAACCCCAAGTGCATTACAGAGCTTCCTTTATGACAGTGGTTCTCACACCACTATCAAAAATGATTGAGGACCCCCAAAGAACCTGTTTATATGGGCTGCAGCTATGATGTTTATCATGTTAAAAATTAAAACTAAAAAAATTAAACTACTGGTTAATTCATTAAAAAAAATACAAACCCATTATATGTTAATAGAAATATTATCTTATGAAAAATAACTGTATCTTCCAATACAAAAAAAAATGGCAGGAAAAGTGGCACTGTTTTGCATATATCTTTAATGTTTGTTTCAAGAGAGTTGATTCTCCTATCTGCTTCTGCATTCAATCTGTTACAATATGTTGTTTTTGTTGAAGTACATGAAGAAAATTGGCTTCACACGGATATGTAGTTAGAAAATGGAGGAGTCTTTTCCAGCCTTTCCAAATAATTGTGGATATTCTTTGATATTACACCAAAACTCAACAAGTACTGATTTCTTAAAGGTTAGTTACAGTGTGGAATCTGAAACCATATCAATAAACTTCTCATATTCTCTTACATTTAAATCCACTGGGCCAGACTGCACTTTGAATGAGTCTTTTAATCTTGCATGATTCTGTAATATCAAGTATTGGTCATGTGGAAAATACGGATCCAATGAGTAATGCAGATCTCCTGCTGACACATTTCATTATACGATATAAAAAATCATATCCATTAATATTACCAATGATCTCATCAGAAAAGTCTAAGTAATAGGAAGAGGTCAGGCTCAAAGTGACAGATACGACTTTTTCCAAATTAGTAATTTTGCTTGGAAACTCAACTTTTATAAGTAACAAATCATATCTACTGTTCCCCTTGAAGTGACAGTCACTTCATTCATTTACGTCTGCCAAATACTCAAGTCTGAATAACTACAGTTTGTCTGTTAGTTGTTCTTCCAAATAAATGTGGTCCATGATAAAAGCAGATAGTTCAGCTATAGCTTAAACAATCACACAAGTGTTTTTCCTTGACAACCATTATACTTGGCTTTGTAGCAGGAGTGCTTTATGCATACCTTCCATTTCATCAAACTATTAAAGAGAGATGAACTCAAATATTGAGACTTAATAAAAGTAGTAATGTTTACTGCTTCGAGGAACATTCTTAAATGAAATCAGCTTTTTTTTTTCTTAAACTGGAAGTGCATGGTGGGGAAGAATACTGTGATTACTCATAATAGTCTGGCGACAACACCCTGATTCATGCTAAGATACCAACAGTCCTATCCACCATTACTTTTGTATCGTCAATGCAAATTCGACACAGTGAAAGTGTCACGCATCATATAGTTTTAGTATTATTACAGAGATAGTTTTGACCTGTGGACTCCCCAAAAGGATTTAGTGGAGCCTTCCAGGTATCCACAGAGTCTACTTTAAAAACTCTACTTTAAAGAATCCCTTCAAAGTCATGTTCAATGTATTGCAGTGAAGGAATACATGTTCAGCAAGGCAAGCATAATATTCTAAGTATATCCCATGGCTACTGTCAGGTAAAACTGCCAAGGAATCACTCAGCTTTGCTGTGATGTAGAAATTGTGGTAAACTGGGGTTCCTTATTACGGATATGAACACTACATTCTAAGCAGAGGATTTTTTAAAATAAACAACGACAATAACAAACCAAACTCACATCAGTGAAACATAAATGTTATTAAACTAACCTATGTTCAAGAGAATAAATGTCAAAGTGAAATTCCATAATAATGTTAGCAAGCTGTATTTCCTATTTGTTTTATGGCTATTATCTTCACGGAGATAAAGATCAGATGCTAGAATTATACACTTAGCAAGAAAAACAAGAAAGTAAAAGAGGAAGATAGCTTTTCTGCAATGTGACTGGGAAACTAATTAGCACTTCCCTGACTTGCTTAGGGACTGAGCACTGTGATAACTCCAAGTTTGCATTATGTTTCTAAGTGGGTATATATTTTTACTGGCTATTTTTGGTGGTGAAGTAAGGAGAAAAAAGGGGATAATGAACTAGAGGATTAATTTAGACTCTCCAACCAATACTCTATATACAGATCCCTCAGAACTGAATGTCTAAATTAAAATTCAGCATCATCTCACCGTTTAGTGAAGGCATTCTATCCTTAAAAGACATTTGAGGAAAAGAGTATGAGAAAATATGAATCACAGAAGTAAAAGGACCTATTCAGTGGATTTCAAAGTGTTTTGCACAGTCCTAGGTACCACAGAGGTGTCTCTCTGGGATTATGGGAGGACAGAGGAAGGGTCAAGCTGGGGGGACCCCAGCCAGTCAAGGCACTCCTTGGTTTTCACACATCAGGTTCATATAAGATTTAGGTCAAAAAAGACTAAAGGAAGTTTAATAACCTCTGACTGAATTTGCCTCTGTGCTTTGGGTTATTAAGCTTGAGGTAATAATAATTTTTAAAGTTAAAATTAAACAAGAACCCCGAACACACACATATACCCTTAAAAAAACCTATGAAAGAGGCATCTCTTTTGATTTTGTTCAAGATGGGATATAAACAAACTAAATCTGTTAGCAGTAAATACAAAGTCATAAGCCAGCCAAATTCAAATTAAAGAATTCTAATTTGACAACCTTAACATCTAACAAAAAAGCTTGCTTCAATAAATTAGGGTATGTACACGTAGATTATGGAATATTATGTAGCTATTAATATGATGTAAAAGACTATTCAATGATATATGTTAAGGATATAGTTAAATGAAATGCAGTATACCTAATTGTTATTTTTATAGAAAAACTCTATATATTTACCTAAAAAAAAAAAAAAAAAAAAGACTGGAGCCAAACATTAGGTGGAAGAATTATCCAAAATTTTAATATTCTTCATGCTTATCTATAGTTTCTAAATTTCCAATAATAAATTCGTATTACATACACTGTAAGAAAAAGACTGTCATTAAAAAATTCTTTTGAAGGGTTGTCAAAAAGTCCTCAAAGCGTAAACAACCATTCTATCAGGATATCTCATGTGCCTTATGTTTACTCTAAAGCAGCGGTTCTCAGCCAAGGGTAATTCTGCCCCCCTCTCCGCCCGCCCCCAGCAGACGGCTGGCAATGTTTGGAGTCACTTCTGTTGTCACAACTGGGTGAAGAGTGCTTCTGGCATCTACTGGGTACAAGTCATGGATACTGCTAAACATCCCACGACGTACGGGACAGCCCAACAACAAAGAATTACCCAGCCCAAAATGTCAGTAACACCAAGGTTGAGAAATCCTGTTTTAAAAGATGAGCTAAAATGATGACAAAGAACTTCTTCCCTAGAGCCTGTTTAATCCTCAACTTCTTTGCTATGGCTGTTGACAAGAAGGGAAATTAATTCTGACAGAAATGTGGCCAGCCATCTGTTGGATTGATCTAATTTCGTTCTCTTTGTGTTTCCAAATCAACCTCAGATATAAAGGGTCTCAGCCTTTCCCTGGGTCACATTCTAAATGCAGCCCTACAAACAAAAGCATGCAGCTATCTCCTTATGTGAAAAAGCCATGTCCCCACTCCCATCCCCATCAATATTCTGTCCCTGAACATGTAGTTTATTACAACAAGTTACTAGAAGCTCTAAAATGTGTCATATTTCTATGTATCCCAAAGCCATTAAGCAAAACTCCATTTTCTTCAAAGTCTCTTTCAATAAAGCATAAAATTATTTGCCAAAGGGCAAGATTCCAGGAACTAAACAGGGAGCTATTTCTTGGACCTTAACTCTATCCTTTGGGCAAGCTTAATTTATATACTAGAATCTCTTTGTCTACTGTCATGGAAACTTTTGAAAACAAAAGATGTGAAATAAGAAATAAGCCAAAGCAATGATAAGATGTAAGTCTAAGAACTACAGCCACAGAATGAGTACAAAGTCAACAAGAAAAATACCAGATTTTTTCACAAATGGCAAAAGAGCCTGAGAAATGGAAGGAGATGTTCTGACCTCACTGGCCAGTCATAAGAACTTGGGTCCACAGCAAACGTGTACAAGGGTGTACACAGAAGGCTATGGCCAGAAAAGCTGGGGGACGGGAGGGATGTGAAGAAATGGTTCCTCTTCCTGAAATCCTTGAGTCTGGTTCCAGTTTATTCTAGTTCCAATTTTTTTTCTCATCCTCAGAGTTTATCTCTAGATCAAAAAGCACATCAAGAGTGACAAGCACAAAAACTCAGTGTTTGAACTCAGAGGATTTTTTAAACTAGGAACCATCATGCAACTCTGCAAGCTATTTTACAGTACTGTTATTTTATAGTACTCTACATTTATAGTACACAGTCCATAAAACCATACCAACAACATTCCAACATACGTGAGCATTTGGTTCCATAGTGATTCTTGAATAAGTGTAAGGAAGTTCTCCATACCATGCTGTAAGTCTTGGTTGCTTGTAAGTTACATCTGAGAAAGAAAATACAGGGCCTTTGAAATGGTTTAACGCTATTTAAGGGGTACCTACTGAGCACCATGCAATGTGCAAGAAGCTATGAGAAATACAAAGGCAGAGTAAAGATGGGCTCTGACCCACGGTTCCACCCTGAGGACATGGGATTTCAGGAGAAGAATGGGTAAGAGCTCAAAGAAAGAAGACAAGAGAAGGTATGTTGGCAGAAACCGTATTGGCAAAGCTCTGAGAGTACGTGTGACTCGTTTGCATCAGTGATGACATAAACAAGGGTGGAGTCACACTTCAGAAAGGTTCAGATTAGAGAAGGTCTAAAAAGCAGGATATGGAGTCTGAACCCTCATAGGCAGGAATCTGTGGCACCAACATCCATATAAGAAACAAGATAAACTGTTCATCCATGTGCCACCTTTTGATTTTGATGAAGAAAAAAGTGCTCTGACCAACCATAGCATGTAGCTGACTGTAGTCAGAAGTTTTTGATGTTCAATATATTTAGTAGGGGGTTATCCACAATCTACTATTTTTTCCCACAATTGATATCAACTGCTACAATAAGAACAATAATTATAAAGGCAGCTAACATTCACTGAAGGCTTACTGTGTATGCACCAGTCATTCTACTAAGCACTTATCATGCATTACCTCCCTTAATTATCACAACATAGGTATTATCATTAGTCCATTTTACAGACCAGAAAACCAAGAATTGGAAAACTATGTAACTGTAATTTGCCTAAAATTAACAATTACTTTGAATGACAAAGCCAGCAATCAAAGCCAAGTCTGCCACTGCTGTGGAATCTCTGGGAGTTAGGAGAAAAAGCAGACTCCTGACTTCCAAGTCCCACAAATGAAGCCAGTATACTCTGCCTCTTTCTTTACAGAAAATCTGAATTCACACAATGTGCGAATTTTTACGACAGGAAATTTTACGCTAGGGCATAGACGCCCTCCAGTGGACACCTCTGGTCCAGCAGCTGTGCTGCTTGTGGGTGACCACGGAGGAGCAGGCTCCGAGTCCTGTCATCTTTGCAAGTTCAGGAGAGTACAAATGCTGAAATGGAAAGACACTGGACTCTTCTACTGAAACTAAAACGAGGATAAAAAGCTGGCAATAAGGATCATACAAGAACATATGCCGAACAGATTTGGAAAAAAGAAAGCTCTGGAGGTTTCTATGAAGAAAGAGGTAAGCTGTCACTATTTGAAGTAATAATGGTAGCAAACAAACTCAAAAAGATAGAAGTATGTCAAGCACAGGTCAGCCAAACCACATATCCTCTGGTTCCTTGAACTCCCACCTCCTGGCTCCTGCCCTGTTCTCTGACCTCTGGGCCTTCCACCTGCTCTTTCATCTGCCTGGAACACTCTTCCCTGTCCCTTTTGGCTGGCAAATCCCTACTCTTCTGTTTAATTGAGACTGGCCGTGGTGAAAGAAGCAACGGTGTCTCTAGAGAGACCAAGTGGCAACAAGTGCCATCTCAGACACGTGCTTACCCTCTCTGATGCCGGTCCTCTGTTTCCAGGGAACAACCTCACAAAGTTGTTCCAATACCCAGTCGGCTTCTTTCAGGTCTACAAAGCCAGGATACAAACACACCCTTGATGAAGAAAGAACCATTATTAACTAAAGAACACAGAAAAGATGGGCTAGTCTCTAACCATTAGTGAAGTCAGTTAATTTGGATGCTTCCTTTCATGGGTAGATGAACTCATCTTGCCATACCTCCCATGGCAAGCAGGACATGACGTTCCAGATGTGAAACAAACTTTCACGTTAAGACAAATAAGAGGCAATAAAGGAAAAAGAACGCATGAGGGCTTTTACAGACACACTTCAAATACTGCTCCCCTACCACTTGCTGTGAAACTTTGGGTAAATTACTTAACTTCTATGAAGGCTGGTTTTTCTTACCTGTAACACAAAAATGATATCCCCCTCACAGGCTCACTGTGAAAAGTAAACTAACAAAATGCCTGGCCCTGTGTTATTCTAACAATTGGTTGTCTTCTGAGACTATGTCAGTTGTAGGGAAAACGACCATTTATGACTGTATCAAAATAAACACTTCCAAATGAGGGTTCTTTCTGTCACTGAATATATACTTATTTCATTAATGCCAAGTCAGCTCAAAATCATTTTGGATATCCTTCTTTGTTCTGAAAGCCCTTGGAACATTCTGTCAAACTTCACTCTTTGAAGGTGTCTTTGATTTTTTCAGAGCCAAAACGCACCTGAAGCCATACCTGTTTAACAATGAGATGAGACCAAAATAATGCAACTGGTTTTCTTGTGTGACTGTTAAACTTGCTTTAAAAGAGATTCTGAAGCTCTTTCTAAGCAATTCATTTAGATATGCAAGTTCTGATATATTTATTTTAAATGGCCATTTAAAATAAATTATTTTATAGTGACTTAGCAAACTCATGCATTAAGGGGATGCTTCCAAAATTTTCATTTTAATAATGATTAATGCCTACTATACCCTAAATTGCACATGCTTTAACTTTAATGAAATCTACCTTAATGTAGATTAAGGTATTAACTTACTCATGTAGATTAAAGATTAACATAATGTAACACATATAAAAATATATGTAGTAATATGATTAATGCAATAATAAATGAAATGATATATATAATGTAATATAATAGTAATAAAATGGAGCATTCAAAGAACAGAAGTAGAGGCTAGGTCACCTGTAATTTTAAGTTACTATGTGGTACTAGGAGAAAGTACTTAATCTCCCTGGGTCTCATTTTCTCACCTGAAAAATTGCAGAATAGTTACTACACCTGACAGAGAGGCTATGAAAATGTTTTGGAGTCAGAAATGTTATATAAAAAGAGATATTACCAAAATCTCACTCCCCAAGATTTTCAGAGGCAGAAGTTACCTATCTCAAGTAAGGGAGTAGAACATTTTAAGAGACTATTAACTGAAAAATAATTATGAACTTTCCAGGGAGGATTCACTTACCTAGATACGCCTGTGGGTGACACGCTGATATCATACACACCTTCTCTGCTACATAAATCAAGAAAACAGACTCATTGGGATCAGGCAAAATAATACACTCCACCCAGTGGAAGGGCTGTGCTTTGCAGTTCCCAAACTCCTGATCACTAGAATGATTTCACAACGAGGGTGCACTATGAGGGAGGCCTAACCCCACCTTCTTCCACCAGCGAGACGAAGAGTAAGATGGTGGCAGACCACTGATGTCACTGGGAATTGAATCCTGATGGAATCAGGCCATGGAGACAAAAACTGAGATAAAATAAATTCTGATTCTACCCCTCTGTATGTCATCCACAATTGAGGCTGCTATGGTCCAGAAATCTATCACACGAAGGCAGCACATCTCTTTGGAGACCCTGGAATAGGTGCATTTAACAGGAAGCAAGTCCATCTCAGGGCTATGAGCTGCTGTTGCTTTCAGATACATGTCTAATGAGGTTCCTGCCTGATTAAAAAAGGTTCCCCACCAACTTTTCAAGGGTCCCATGATGTGGCTCCACTTCCTGACAGCTCCCACCCACTCATGATCCTCCCATTGCTATTTGGAATCTCCTGAATACACTACCGTATTTCTAATCCTGCTTTTCTACAAGCTGGAATACCCCCTCGCCCTCCTCCATCACCTGGCACCCGCAATCCAACCCACCCGAGCTTTGGTCCCACAGAAAATTCTAATTCATCCTTCAAAATCTCAGCTCAGTCTCACCTCCTGTAGCGCTTTCCTGACCATTAATCCACCCAAATAATGTTAACCATCTCATTCTCCATGCTACCAGTAGACCTTACTATAAGTCTACTGTTTCAAAATATACACTACTACAATTTACCTTATTACATGTCTATTTCATTTACAAGACTGTGGGCTACTGACGGGCAAGCAATGGGTTACCGTTGTTTCCCAGTGCCTAGAACATAGTAGATGGGCAGTAAAAAGCTTAGAATTTAACCAAATGTGCAAAAGTACAAAACTGTTCCAGACGTGCAAGGTGGTGAGGTCCACAGTGAGAAAACAGACACCCAGACTGCATAGGTTCCTATGCCAGAATAATGGTGTCAGATCCTCCCAGACAGGGGTAAGTTACAGAAAATAATATAAAGGGACAGTGTTCACATCACCCTCTGCCATGCGAGCCAGAAGTTCATGATCTGTGAGCTGGGCTCTCAGGCAGACTGTGCAAGCCCCTCTGAGCCAAAATGTAGGCAGGGTTATTGTCACATACATTCATCATGTCTCTAAATGAGCGGCCTATAGTTTCCCATAGTGTGAACACAATGTTTCATTGTGATATATTTTGGGCCACATTAAGAAACTGGCTCAGTTCAAATGTGGGTGACATTTCTGGTTATCAAATAAAAATCTAACAGAGCCAACTTTACATAACCAGAATTAACAAATGCTGGGATCAAACAGGAAGTTTTGTCATTTTGCTATGACCTGAATATTCACAACTGCCCATTTTTTCAGCCTGCATGTCCCACATGTACCTCGTAATAGGTTTCATGGTTTTGTTTCTTCTCTTTATCACCAATGGAGGCAATGTCACACTGGTACTTACAAACAATCAAAGAGTGTTAGAGCTACCACACTCTGCCTTAAGTGACTATGTGGTCCAAATCCTAATATCACAGACAAGGAAACTAAAGTCCTGAGAAATGGCCTTAACTTACCTAAGGACTCGTTACATAGCTAACTAGTGGTAAGGCCACAACTTTGATACCCTCTTTCAAAGTATGATGACCTCGTGTTAGTTTCACATTTTTCTAAGCTATACAAGTCGACCTGCAAATAGCCAAACAGACTAACAGACTGTTCATGAGCAATAACATGCAAACGCTAATTTGTTAAAATAAAAGGATGCGTGGGGCGCCTGGATGGCTCAGTCGGTTAAGCGTCCGACTTTGGCTCAGGTCACAATCTCGCACTCTGTGAGTTTGAGTCCCATGTCGGGCTCTGTGCTGACAGTTCAGAGCCTGGAACCTGCTTCGGATTCTGTGTCTCCCTCTCTCTCTCTGTCCCTTCCCCACTCACACTGTCTCTCTTCCTCAAAAATAAATAAACATTAAAAAAAATAATAATAAAATAAAATAAATAAATAAATAAATAAATAAAAAGATGCTTTCTACTGGCAATTTATGTACATCAGATGGAAACTGAAAAGCAGGAAAAGAGAAGTCAAAGCATCTTTCGTTAATTTTGGAAAAGAATGTTTTATATGCTGATCAGTATAAGAGGAATTATAAATTAAAGAGGTTATTTTATATACAGATCAATTTAAGAATTTAAACTGCTCTGGAACAAGTAAGTAAACATTTAAAGCCCTCTAGATTTCTAACAGCTTTCATTAAGCATTGCTAGTCGAACAGTACCTAACTAAAGTCTTCTCAAATATCCAGGTTTTAAGGACTAGGAAAAAACCTCCCTGTCTTTTTTTTCTTTTTTTAAGTAGGCTCCACACCCAGCGTAGAGCCCAACATGGGGCTTGAACTCACGAACCTGAGATCAAGACCTGAGCTGAGATCAAGAGGTGGACACTCAACCAACGGAACCATCCAGCTGCCCCCACTCTGTCTTTACCTAGGAGATATTTTCACTTACTGTCTGCAGATATCTTAGTGAAACAGGGTCAAGAAACCTACACAAGTCAGAGATCAACGTACAGGCATCTTATGGCATTTTCCACACCATTAACAAATTGTGAAAGGTTTCCCAAAAGACCAAGTTTAAAGATGTCTAAGATACAAATACCCCAGCCTAAAATTAAGACAGTAATTGGGCCATTAGCTTCCTTCCAGCTGGAAAAAAACTGGGTGAGTTATCTGGGCTCTCCATTTTACTGCGGGCAAAAAATACAGAATGGCAGCAAATTACTTACTCAATCACTCGTGGCTCTGGGGCTCTGCGTACTACCTGCAAGGAACAGGCAGATTTTACTTCTGGAATGATCCCTAATCCTCAGAAAGACTTATCTGCAGGATTATCATATCCTCTCATTACTGGTAAAAATAAATCAAGTTTAAAACTATCCTTTTTTATTCCAAGCTCTTACTATGCCACTAGAGACCCGTGTCTGCTTTTCTTAGAACTACTTCACAGTTACTAGTGGGGCAAGAAAAAATAATAAAAGTAGAATCAACCCATTTTCCAAGCACCCAGTAATTCTGGAAAAATCTTTCCAGGAGATTTTTTTTTTTTTAATGTTTATTTATTTTTGAGAGAGAGAAAGAGACATGGCATAAGTGGGGGAGGGGCAGAGAGAGAGGGAGACACAGAATCTGAAGCAGGCTCCAGGCTCTGAGCTGTCAGCACACAGCCCAACATGGGGTTCGAACTCATGAGCTGTGAGATCATGACCTGAGCTAAAGTCGGATGCTCAACTGACTGAGCCACCAGGCGGCCCAGGATATTTTTAAAAATAGAAGATACATGAAGAAATAAGTCTTAATCGTTATTTTTACAAGCACTACTAAAGCAAAATGCCTGATTTTTAATAACATGTTCCCATGCTATTAAAAAACAGTGAATCTTCACTATTTCCTACAACTTTTCCCTCATGGGGAAAAAAAGCTAAAAAATCAGGCATTGTAGTAGTTGAAAATTTCAATCCAATTCCAGAAGCACCTGCTACACTAGTACTAAAGACAGCAAGGGTTTAGGACTGTTAGAACTCAGATAACCAGGGCGCATGGGTGGCTCGGTTCAGTTGAGCGTCTGACTTCAGCCAAGGTCACGATTTCACAGTTGGTAGGTTTGAGTCCCCTGCCGGGCTTTGCACTGACTATGCAGAGCCTGCTTAGGATTCTGTCTCCCTCTCTCTCTCTGCTTATTCCTTGCTCATGCATACGCATTCATTCTCTCTCTCTCTCTCTCAAAAATAAACATTAAAAAAAAAAGGGGGGCCCCTCGGTGGTTGAGTTGGTTAAGCATCTGATTCTGGATTTTGGCTCAGGTCATGATCTCCCAGTTCGTGGGATCAAGCCCCACAGAGCCTGCTTGGGGTTCTCTCCCTCTCTCCCTCTCTCTACACCTCTCCCTGCTCACTCACTCTCTCAAAATAAATAAATAAACATTAAAAAAAAGTACTCCGATAACCAATGCAAGCACTAGTCATGGTATAACCTCCTTCCCCCAAAGTGGGAACTTTATACAGCCATGAGTTGGGAGCAGACTAGAAAGAAATCTTCAGATACACTAAGGAGCTGATAGCCCACATTTCATTATTATTATTATATGCCTTGCATGCTCCTTTTATTAGCGAATGTATTCAGTCACTATTTGAGGATCTACTGTGTGACTACAGCTTTTACAAGCAAACCTCTTAGTGTTGTGAGAGAAAAAGAATTTACCTCCTGGGGTTCTCTGAATACAAACTGTCTATCCAAAAGATGACGCTCCTTGTTTGTCCAGGTCTGACCAGGCCTCTGGTGGAGATGGCTCTTAGCAGTGGTAGCTAAAGTAAGGCAAGAACAGACTCAAACCAGACTCCAAAATGTCTGCTCTACTGAGCAAGAGCCAATAGAGTCTACTTGAAGATAATGTACATTACATCTAGAAATTAATTAGTAAAGTCTGTCGAAGACCCCAAAACACACACTGTAAGGTTTGAGAGCAGGCACTAAATATGAGGAATACTAAATATCAACCCTCAATAAAAGATAGCCATCAAGAAAATCAAAGTACCAGCTACGTTTTAAATAATTCCTTAACATCAACTGAAATGCAGGTGCATTCACACAAGGTCCCCACAGGTTCTTGCCTGGCTGAGCAGTGGCCTGGCTCTTAGCAGGGCCAGCCCAGGCTCCCTGCACTCGGGCTCGCCGTCTTTTGTCTTCCATGTTGACCAAAAAGGCTTCTGCTCTTAGCTTTCAGAACATTTCATTCCTGATTAAAACCACCCAATGGCATCTGTTTAAAAAAAAAAAAAAAAAAAAAAAGGAAAGTGCTTTTAGTTAGGATTATGAGAGCGTAGACTACCTAAGGGAGTAATTATAATTCTTTCAAGCTCAATAGCAATCAGAGATTCTACATCAAAACCACTTTTTTGGCATTTTTGCCAATGAAATTTTAGCTCACAGCCCACATACAGGAGCACAGGTACAAAAAGACAAAAACGGGGAGATTCACAGCACATGTTCTGAACCTATGATCCATTTCTTTACTGATCTAAGAAGGCTTCACATCTCAAGTTCTCAAATGTCACCAGCTCATCTTATGGCTTATTTAGCCCACCAATTTCCAGACCTTCCCAGATCTTCCGAGATGAGATGGGCCCAGGAATCTGTACATTTAACAAATTTCCCCAGGTGGGTAAGGGCGTGTAGCTCCTTCTCATTTAATAGGTGGGGAGACGACGGAGACTGCCATCTGCCCAAAACGAGTTCATGGCAGAGTCCAATACTAACCCTCCACTCCCACCAGATGTGTAGAGGAAGTTTGTATTTTCTCTCAACTGAGACCATAAAAGCTCTTAACACGACCATTGCTCCGTTCACAGGGTAGTTATATTATGTGCCAGGGACAGCTGTTGAAAATAACAGATTTCGGAGCCTCCCCCTAGACCCAATGATTTTGTGGCGTCCCAGAAACTGTTTAACTAACCCCACCTTCCACCCTGGGATTCTTTACCCCATAGAAAGCTTGAGAACCCTGCAGAAGGCAAACAAACAAAAAAAACAAAACACGAGGGCTCTGGCGCCAGCCTGGCTCGCTCTGAACCTAAATCTATCAGTTCCCAGCACATGCAGTTCCCAGCTGCATGACCTGTGTCAGATGACTTCACCTTTCCGCGCCTCAGTTTCATCCTCTGTTAAGAGGGGAACCAATACCTCTCTCACCGCTGAAAAAGGCTGGTCCTCAAGAAGAGTGCGCAACTTTCCCTATTATTAGACTCTTCTCTTCCAGGACCCCGGGATGCGGTCCCAGAGGTAGGCCGGGAAGGGTCCTCGGGGGACGGTCCCCACACCCCCAGGCACCGAGCGGGTGGCCGGGTCGCCACAGCAGCAGCGGAGCCGGGCGCGCAGGTACAAACCTGCTCGGTCCCGAGGCGAACCCCGCCGTCCCGGAGCCGCTCCGCCGCCTGCGCTTGGGGAACCTTAAGGGTGCAGCACCGACTCCAACAGCTCGCAACCACGGGCCGCGGCGTCAGGCATTTCCTCTTGACGTCACGCCCCGCCGCCGCCGCTTCCGGCGCCATCCGCCAGAGTTCGGGCAGCTCCGCGATCCCTGCGCAGGGAGGGCCGGGTCGCTAAAGGCGCCGGTGGGCGGGCCGGGATTGGACCGGAGCACAGATTGAAGGTGGTGTGGGGCCCGGTGAGGAGTGGGGCGTGGCGAGGGTGGGAAAGAAGGCGTGTTTGCCAGGCCCAGGTTCCGCTGGACATAGTCCCCCCCCTCAACCCCCCCCCCCCCCCCCCCGCCTCCGAAAGCCAAACTGCAGAAGTCTAAGCTCCAGCATCCTTGGTCTATACGGAGTGACAGGGTACCTGCGGGGCTGGTGGAAGGGCGACAGGGTTGGGAAACCAGGTAGTGACGTGCTAAGTAGAAGGATTTGAATTCTACCCTGAAAGCTCTGGAGAATGTAATATGCACTTCCTTTGTGCCCCCATTGCAGCCTGTGCACACTTCCATCAATAACACAAAGAGTCATGGGACCACACCTCCGTGGCTCTCCACTGCTAACCAAATTTTGCTTGAGTGAACAGACCTCAGTTTCAGTCCAGACGACACCATTTACTAGATGTATAATCTAGGGCGAATTCTCCATTTCTTTATGAAATTGGCATAGCTCTTGTTGAGAGGGCTAAATGTGGTAATGCATTTAAAGAATTTAGCAGGATGCTTGAAACACAATAGAAATTCAATTGATACTAAGAGTGTCTTCTCTTCACCCCATCTGAGTTTTTAAGAAGCATCTTTTTTTTTTTAACTTTTTATTTATTTTTGAGACAGAGAGAGACAGAGCATGAACGGGGGAGGGGCAGAGAGAGAGAGAGGGAGACACAGAATCGGAAGCAGGCATCCAGGCTCTGAGCCATCAGCCCAGAGCCCGACGCGGGGCTCAAACTCACAGACCGTGAGATCGTGACCTGAGCTGAAGTCGGCCGCTTAACCGACTGAGCCACCCAGGCGCCCCTTAAGAAGCATCTTTAAACTGGCCATGTTAAACCATGTGTCTTACACTGTGAAAATAGCAAACGTAGCACCGAACTGACTGTTTTGTGTGGCTTATTCTCTAAGACCTACCAAATAGTAGTCACTGTGGAAGTCTTTGAAATAAGACTTGTATTATATACTGCTTACCTAGAGAAGTTCAGTGTACCCCACCAATCTAATCTTCACAGCACCCATCATTCTTTGTTATACTTTGTGACAATGAAGGAAAATGATTTATCCTAGAACTGAAAGGAGAGAAAAGTGGTAAGGCCAGACTATAATTTTTACCTTTTTTTTTTTTTTTGGTCCCCATCAACTAGTAATTTGTCAGTGTCTGTTTTATGGTTCAGGAACCTTGGCTGTGTCTTCTAAAGAATGCCATTCTTTCTTTTCAATGATTATGGTTTCGGAACAGGAACAAAGAAGTTTGGATTGAGGAGTCCCTAAAAGTAGTGATTAACACATCTTCAGCCTCCAAGTAGAACATTTCTCAAAAATCAATCTACGGCCTGCTTGCTTCCAAAATAACTGCATTTTTACCAAGTGCTCAAGGTGATTCGAATGCAGAGAAAGTCTAGAAACCTTTAGGATGCATGTCAGTTGACAAATCATTCCCGTTTGTCTGACACTAAGAGGTGTTCCAGGAGATAGGACTTTAAGTGCTAAAGGCAGGACAGTACCGGGCAACTGAGATGGCTGGTTACCCTAAATACGTGAGATTATATAGCATTAGAAAGATGTTCTTTTGAGTCTTACTCCCTGGGTTTCCCCCATTTCTATTTGCAGTATTTGTGTTTTCATCAGGGGGTGGTGGTGGAGACCGTGGGAGAGGGAATGAAAGCGAGGTGCGATGCCAGTTATCAGCCCACTCATTGTCAGCTCCAAACCCATCCTCCAGAACCCTGCTTGCAATCCTGGAACATTTCTCCCTTGCAGCTTGGTCTGATGTTAAGCGTCAACGGTAGAGGGTGCTGGAGGGACATTAGAGGAGGAAGTGGTTCTTCCTGATTCCAGAGTGCTCCTCCCAGATGGCTGGGCAATGCAGAGCAGCCAACGGTGTTTGGCATCTTTTTGTGGGCTGGACTGGAATGTTAGTGGCATTTACAGCCTTGTTAAGTTCCTCTTGTGAAGTTAAGGCATCGATTGAGAAGGAATGGGATCCCCAAATCTGAAATAGTGGCATCTACTTGGACTGACATTCTTGAACACCCAAGTCACCTTGAACCTCCCTGGGCAGGGGCAGTAGCTTGCTCTCCTGTGTCTGAGGAGACTTTTGCTTGAAAACCCTGTGAAATGCTCACCTGGAGCAGATAAATTGAAAAATGCATTGAAACCTGCATTGAAAAATGCAGCCTAGATCTGAACTTCCTAACAGGTGGGGGTGCATCTACAGTTGTGCCTTCCTTGGTGGTTGTGTGTTGTGTGTTGTGTGTTGTGCATGCACACCTGCCCAGACCTAGATGTGGTAGTGGCTGTTCCCTATATCTACTGTTTTCTGTATTCTTATTATTTTCCTTTCCCCTTGTAGGTGATACCCTATAATGATTATTTTTTCCCCTGAATTATACTGTATAGTTTCTGTCTCCCATTCAATTCCTAACTGTTACAGTGTGGTTGTGATATCAGGGGTTGGGAGCAATAGCGGGCAAGTGGCTGGCTCCAGAGTTGGTCTCGAACTGTAAGTAATCATTTTGGCTCTGATTTGGTCTCCCTTGCTCTCCCTGGCCCTTTACTCTTGTGCCGCTCTCGCTTCCCTTCACCTGAGACAGCCTTCCCAAAATTGCAGATCGGTTGTGCCGATCTGGTCGCCTTGCCTCTACTCTGAAACCAGCATTTCAGAGTATGGTTGGAAGACCATCTGCATCAGAGTTGCTAAGGGATGCTTGTTAAAAATGAAGATAAAAGGGGCACCTGGGTGGCTCAGTTGGTTGAGCATCTGACTTCAGCTCCGGTCATGATCCACGGTTCATGAGTTCGAGCCCCGCATCAGGCTCTGTGCTGACAGCTCAGAGCCTGGAGCCTGCTTCGGATTCTGTGTCTCCCTCTCTCTCTGCTCCCCCGTACTTGCGCTGTCTCTCTCTCGAAAATAAACATTTAAAAAAAATTTTAAGTGAAGATTCCAGGCTGCCTATCAAGATTGTGGGTTAGGTCTGGGGCAGGGCCTAGCACCTCGCATATTTAACAGTGCCTTGTTTCATTTTCCAAGAACCTGCCAGAGCTCAGCCTTTCCTAACTGCCTGCTTTCTGCAGGTGACCACTTTTCACTCAACAGATACCTCATCCCCTGGATGGCAGAACTGATAGATGCTTTAAGTGCTGGTAGCTCTTACCAGAATGATTCTGAGCGAGCTACACACTGCACCTATTTTCAGTCGCTGATTTTCACACCAGACTCTTGCCAAACATTGCCTGTTTCGATCATATGCTGCTCGTGGAGCGCCTGCTGAGAATTCCGGAGAAAATCCAATCCAGGGAAAATAATGACACATCATGCTAATAGCTCTCAGCGAAGGTACTGTGTAGAGAAATTCCCGGCCCGTGTCTCACTGCCAGAGGCTTAGCGGTTCCCAGCTGGAGGGAGGAAGGTGGGGCAGGACCTGCCAACTGCAGCGTGGTGGCTTGGAGGCTTTCAAGTCTCCACCAACTCTAAACAATGTTGAGGAAGACAGGATGCTTCCCCAGACTCTACACAGGAACTGCTCCCATTTGACGCCCAGCACAAGAGCAGATGCTGCTCGAGATAAAATCTTCCAGTAAGCCATAGTGTATGCTGTGAGGAACAACTAAAGAACAATATAATTGGAGGGGAAATTGTGGAGAGCGGACAAAAATCCGGGACAGGAGAGGTCACTAGAGGTTACAGTCATCAGTGAAGGCTTTAAGGCAAATGGGGAGTTATGTCAGAAGTTTTGTTTGTTTGGGGCGCCTGGGTGGCTCAGTTGGTTAAGTGTCTGACTTCGACTCAGGCCATGATCTCAAAGTTCATGAGTTTGAGTCCTGTTGGGCTCTGTGCTGACAGCTTGGAGCCTGGAGCCTGCTTCAGATTCTCCCTGTCTCTCTGCCCCTCCCCCACTCGCACTGTGTGTGTGTGTGTGTGTGTCTCTCTCAAAAATAAATATTAAAAAATTTTTTTAACAAAAAATGTTTTGTTTGTTTTTTAGTTTATTTACTGATTTTTGAGAGACAGAGTGTGAGTGGGGGAGGGACAGAGAGAGAGAGGGAGAAAGAGAATCCTAAGCAGGCTCCGTTCTGTAAGTGCAGAGCCTGATGTGGGGCTCAATCTCAGGAACCTTGAGATGATGACATGCGCTGAACTCAAGAGCCGGATGCTTAACCAACTGAGCCACCCAGGTGCCCCATGTCAGTCTCACACAGTATGGAGCATTCCGTGGCTGAAAGATAGTGATAGTCCTATTAATCCTAAAAAGAGTAGTGGATTTTCTTTCTAAAAAGAAATCATTTTACACATCTGATTTCTAAGTAATAGCATATAATATTAACACTTCCTGAGGGCATGTCAAGGGATACTGTAGTTATATGCATACACTAATCCAATTTTCTATTGGTCTCATTGACAAAGGAAAAAACTGAACCATATGCTACATGAGGCCACGATGCCACTTCTCTGCAAATACGTGGCAGAAGGAAAGCCAAATTAGGAAAGACAGGACTATTCCTGGAATGATATATGGAGCCATTTCCTGGGGCCTAATAGCTGGGTTCTTTTAGAGACTTTAAAAGTGAAGGACTGGTAGCAATGTAATCCATCAGACCCTAGATTTTAAATTGTTCTTGAGGACTTTATCTAGATGGTTTAGCTGATTCTCCTTTAGCATCACGGAGTTCTCCGAGCCATGTGAACCACATTATTTCAAGTGTATGAACTGTGATGTCAGGTAAGGCTTTATTCAAATGTCAGCCTCACTACTTCCTTGGTGGGTAACTTCAGATATCTGGGTCATATCAAGACACAAATGTAGGGGC